ACTATGACAATATAAAACAAAATTATGTATTTTACTTTAAATGCGAATACGGGGAAGGTAAATAAGTCATAGGACACTTTTGCTGTAACATACTGAGGACGAATTCGCGTTCCTGGTTCCAATAGGGCACGCCCTCTCAGTTGCCAAGATTAACGCGAACTATGCGTCAGTAGCAAGGAGAGGTACAGAAGCCAAAAGAAGTGTTGAAAGGGAATGAGAGCTTAAGGAAAGAGATTGGTACGGAGATCTTTTTTACTTGTCTGAGCGTCACTCGAGACGGAAGCAGATTTTGGTTCGCAGTGCACACAATTCTTTCTTTGTTTCAAGCCTTACGCAATTTGTTTCCCCGGGTTTAGTTTTCAGGTGTTTCAGAGTGTTACAGTCTTCAAGGAGAGAAGTCTGCTGAAAGTCACTAATGAAGTTACGTTGCTAGTAAAGTTCTCAGTCAGCTAAAATTTCTATCACCATTATCAGCACGCACAAACAGCAGTTCATTTGTTCACAGTCCAAAGAGAGGAGAAAGCCCGAAAAAATTTATTCAAGTTGCGAGGCTTCTGACTGGTACTCGGAAGGTACTCTCGGCTGACACCTACTGTTGTGACTGGTACTCGGGTGGTGCTCTCGGCTAAGACACATACTCTTGTGACTGGTACTCGGAAGGTACTCTCGGCTGACACCTACTGTTGTGACTGGTACTCGGAAGGTACTCTCGGCTGACACCTACTGTTGTGACTTGTACTCGGAAGGCACTCTCGGCTAAGACAACTACAGTTCTGACTGGTACTCGGAAGGTACTCTCGGCTAAGACAACTACAGCTCTGACTGGTACTCGGAAGGTACCCTCGGCTAAGACAACTACAGTTCTCACTGGTTCCCGGAAGGTACCCTCGGCTAAGACAACTACAGTTCTGACTGGTACTCGGAAGGTACCCTCGGCTAAGACAACTACAGTTCTGACTGGTACTCGGAAGGTACTCTCGGCTAAGACAACTACAGTTCTGACTGAGGTATCATTCGATTTCCCTCAGTCCCTCCGTTCAAATCGTAGGATAGTACCTCGTACCGGATACAAACGACTTCCTTCCAAATAATTTCCATTTCGTTACACGTCAATCATCTCATCACTTGACGTACGTTCTCGGCTACAGAAAATGTCGTTAAATAAACCATAAATAAGTAACAACAGGAATGTGTTTTTGCGGCTGGAATGTCTGCAGAATATGCCATCACAAAGCGCTTCTACTCATGTTATAGTATTAACGGAGAGGAAGACATAATCCAGGAAGACCAAGGCGAAGACGGCTAGATGGCTTGCTGATGATGACGAGAAATATATTCTCTCTTTTCCATAAAACAATTTTGTAAAAAACACTTCTTCGAAGTTGCGTACTTTGGAATATCCAAGGGAAAAAATGTGTGTTACAGTTTCGAGCGTTACAGTATTTTCGCATTTTGACTCTGATCCTGCCAAATACAGTCATGTTCATAGAAAAGATATTACTGTAGTATACAAACTGGTTACTGGGCAGCGTATCAAGAAAAAGCACAGTAAACACTCGCTAATCCGGAATATTTGGTGTGGAAAAGCTCATTATGTTTAACGGATAATCCGGATTAATGAAGCAAAAGGTAGTCATAAAAGACAGAAAAATGGAGAATTTAGTAATATAGATAGTGCTTATAAAACTAAATAGAAAAATCGCTTGCAGAAATTTCTTCCTCTGTTAGATGCTGAAATTCAGGGTCTCCTTCGTCCAGCTGAAGCCAATCTTGGATATTTTCTTGCTTGGTTTCAGTCTCTCCAGCTGCCCTCAACACAGTCTGAAAGTCCTCTTGCTCCTAAATCCCACTTGCCGTTAAAGTATATACTCAACCGTGAGCAGAAATGTTCATTTGTTCATGTTTCGATCCGGATTGGCGATGGCTTACTGTAATGCAGTTGCAAGTATAGTAACTTGCAGTGAAGAAGTAGTCTTCGGCGATGGTGTGACGTTGTTGAATACTGTTATGCCTCTGTACGAGTTTGATGAAATCACTTCATTTCGGAAACTGCGTTTATTCCCGTCTTCAGGTGTGCACAAGAAAGAAAGTAAATACTGTCATGTATTTACAGTGACCATAGACGGGGGTTAAGGGTTGAATGATTGGATTGACACTCTCTGCACGCGACTGAGAACTACAAATAATTACGGCACTATGGCTGATCCACACACTTTACAGTTCACCATTACACACACAATAATGTCAGTCTTCACTTGTCGTATACTTGCAACAGATTTATAAGAGTCTCACTGTCATTGCAGCACACACGAAGTCTTCTTCTCACAAACTAATTCCTTTCTTGTCATCTCAAGAGACTCCCTGAATTCTCCTCCCATCTGTCCTCGGGGCCGCCCCAACAGAAAACACTGTTTCCTAAAAATTCCTCTGTTTTTACGGAGGTGTTTACCTCGCCGTAACATAGAAACTGTAGGTCTTTGATTGTTGCTTGCGTCTTCTTTGCAGTGGCAATGTGTTTAGAGAGCCGTTACCTAGCGACGGTAGGAGAGACACAGGCACATAGAGAATAATGTGTATTCATAAACCTCCTTCAATTATTTTTCCAAATTAAGAAAAACAGGATGAAAATGAACCATAACATCAGCAAGCGACACTGTATATCTTCTCTGTTTTCCTATTATAAGGCGAATTCAGTACTGATTTCGGCCGGTCTCGAAACACAGACCCTATGCCTACAGTATATTCTGTTCAGTATGGCTGGCTTTTCGGAATATTCTGCCTGCTGCCATGTGTGCACCAGAGAGTATATTCCCATTGCCCTCAATGCTACCCTCTGGTATTTAACACAAAGCACAAATTCCGGTCTCCGTTGCATCAAGGTTTCACACTTAGTTAATTACATGGAAGGTAAATTTAGGCCACAGCATGGACCTCACACAATCACGCATTGTAAACACTAACACATAGATATTGAAGATTCATGTGAGAAATGGATCCATCTATAGCTCTGCAGCCCTTTGTTGAGCCTTTGCCGCATTTTGAGTTTCTCAGTCCTATACAGAGTCAGTGGGACTCCTTGGACGGGGGATCAGCCTCTCGCAAGGCCGCTACCAACATACAGATATTCATGCCATGAGTGGGGTTCGAAACCACGATCCAAGTGTTTGAGCGGGCGAAGACAGTTCATGCCTCAGACCGCGCGCGTGGCCACTGTCAATGACTATAAATGAAGCTGCTTTCGTCAGATCAAAGAACAGAAATAGTTCTGTAAGGACGGAACTGTGAAAATATTGGACAGATGCAGTTGTCCCTGTGCTTAATCAATTGTTATGTCATGAAGGCATACGGGGAAGTCGATGTATAGTTCCACCACTTTCGACCTCGGCGCTAGATGGAGGTGAGTGGTTAGCTTCACGCCCCTGCCGCTTTATTGCAGGGAAAATTTCAGCCACTTCCCTTCGATACGAGGCTGGGTGGGCCACCGAGACGGTCTGGACTCTGTGGGGAACAGAGAAAATCTTACCCCTGTCGGGAAACGAACATGGTCCGTCCAGTAGACTAGCAATTAAAGAGTTACGGATTACCATTTGAGGGGGGGGGTTGTTTAGAAAATTGAAAATTCTGGTGAAATCAATTTTGGGGAGGGAACAAGTACTAGAATGGAGTTTTATCTCGAGTTTGAATATATATATATAAATTTGGAAACTCGACAAGCTTTTGTTTTGTGGGGGTTCCTTTTTAGTATGCAGAAAGGACACGGAGTCTCAGAACCCACACTCGCGTTTCTACCAAGAGCGTTCGAGTAAATTATATTTATAAATGTATGTGTCGTTTCGTAATGCTTGCTACCATTCAGTCCAGAGCCTTCTGTCTTCTCATCTGCTGTCTAAAAGCGTAAAAATTAGAATATACAACACTATAATCTTGCCTGTGGTTATGTATGGGTGTGAAACTTGATCTCTGACATTAAGGGAGGAACATACACGTAGACTGAGGGTGTTTGAGAACAGGGTGTTGAGGAGAATATTTGGACCGAAGAGGGATGAACTGATAGGAGGTTGGAGCAAACTGCATAATGAGGAGCTTCATAACTTGTACTCTTCTCCAAGTATAATTAGAATGATCAAGTCAAGGAGGATGAGGTGGGCAGGGCACCTAGTACGAATGGGGAAAAGAGGAATGCATATAGGATATTGGTGGGAAAACCAGAAGGAAATAGACCACAGGGAAGACCAAGACGTAGGTGGGTGGACAATATTAAAATGTATCTTAGATAGGATGGGATGGTATTGATTGGATAGATCTGGCTCAGGAAAGGGACCAGTGGAAGGCTCCTGTGAACACGGTAATGCACCTTCGGGTTACATAAAATGCTGGAAAGTTCTTGAGTAGCTTCACAATTGGCGGCTCTTCAAGCTGGCTGCGGATTCATTTTACTGATTATCAGGAGTTTTAGATTATCCGGCAACTAAGCCGTCGTTTCCAAGCTTATTCCGTACACAGGCGAGTAATGCAAAAATTAATTTTCCTTTTATTTAGTCATTTATGACTCCAATATTCTGATGTATTTGTTTAAATGCCCTGCTGTCATGTCATTAAGCAAATGCACTACACAACCAGAGCTACCTGAGTCACTGATGCAGGACAAGATTCCTTACGTAACAGAGTATGAATGAATTAAACAAATTTTCAAATTTGGATTAACTCTCAACTTGAATGTGACACCGAATTGTTTGGTAGAAACTTACCAACGTTTTCGAGGAACCTGCTAATTCCATTTTCACGGTATATGAATCTTCCTTGAAAATGGAGACAAAATTTTCATTCGAAACGTTTTGCATATTACATTATTTTTATATACTGAAGATGAACACAGCACGTTACCTCGAAATGTTAGTACCTATCTACCAGATTTCACGGCGTCACATCCCAGAGGACGATAATATTGATAGTTGCCGCTCTGAGAACCTCGAATCTCACAAGTCTCCATTTTCTTGCAGCAACTGCGGAGAAGCGAAACAGATAAAGAAGATCCCAGACGAACAGCAAACCCAGACATACATGAACAGAAAATGTGAGTACACTCACACCAGCGACTTTCATTCCATAGTGTTTGTACACAAGAATTCAAACTGTTTGTTAAATCCATTTTAAGGAAATTATTCTATCCTGAATTTGAATAAAATACTATGCATTAATAGCTTAAAATTTTAATGTTACAGTCTTATTCTTCGTGAAAATTTGGTCGCGTTTCTGAGCGTGTGTATAGACGGGTTTCGGAGTGGTGACTAGATCTATTGACCACTTATACACTCACGGCGCTAATTACCCGTAACTTCAGCGCCACCGCTAACCTCCGCAAGTCACCATAAAACACGCTAAGGGTTAAAAAGTAAACCTATTAAAAACCCGATCATGAATAATGTAGCAATGCTGATTTCTGCTTGGTGTCTGGCTTCTTGCTTAACTTATTCTTCAACTCTGAAAATGGAGGTAACATGTTCCTCCGAAACGTCCTTTAACATTCAGCAGACTACATGGCATTATGTCAAAGTAGATAGAACTCTTCGCACTACTGCATAGATTCTCCTTAATAATGAAAGCTTTACTGTAGATCTTCATATTCTGTTTTGGAGTTCGGGTAGTAACACCGTGTATTTCGGAGACACCGCAACGTCGGGATCTCTCCGAACTACACGGAGTTAGAAACCAGAAGCCCGTACCCTGCATTCCCCTTAGTCAGTCTCTTTTTTTTTTTTTGGTGGGGGGAGAAAGCAAAATACTTGTATGTTTGTAATAGTTAAACAACCTCTGTACGATCTATATTCATCATCGCTTAACCCTGTCCTCAGCCAGATTTATTCAATCCACATCCTCGGGTCCAATTTTTCACATTCGTTTTAATATTATATTTCCACATACGCCAACAACTACCCAATTATTTCCTCTCTTTAAGACTTTCCCATTAATACTGTATAAACAGTTGTGATCTCTCTCATGTGTGCTACATGCTCCCCTCAAGTCTCATCCTTTTTTTTTATTAAGAATGTATATTCATGGAGTTCCTAATTATCCTTTCTCTGTGTTCTCTTTCTATTTACTTTCTCTTAATGTTGTATTTTAGCGTCCTGTTGCACTGATTTTCATCCATGATATGTATAGAGTTGCCATCTTGTAGTTCACNTTTTAAAATAATTTTATAAAGGCAAGCAATGAAATAGATTAGCGTAATTAGGGCACCTGATGATGGCACTATGTTGCCGAAACATGTCGTGAAGTAACAGGTGAAATTGAGTACTTTCTCTTATTTTGAAGTCTGCCAGTTGGGTTCTTCCCTGCTCTGATTCTTCCAAATTTAAAATCTCAGCGATTTGTTTCTGCACAGCGCTACAACAGGGACGGGTTAATCTATTTCCCTACGCTGGCGCCATTTCATTATTTAGCTTTCATTTCTTCTTCTTTGTTTATGTCAGTTTGTTCGTGATCCGCGTCGCTGTAAAGTGTAACTGACTTCCAGTCTCCACTTAATTATTTATAGAAGGTGCTTTCGCCTTCGTAACTACGCTGTGTGGAACGGGCTTGATAGACCAGGGTGTTGGCGGAAGTGACGTTGCATTTTACTATTCCTGTATCCCCAGAGAAACATGTCGAGTAGACCCGAAACCTTGGCTGCAATTCCAGACGAAACTGAGACATTGATACATAAAAAGTTGAAGTTTTCTCTGCAAATGTTACACTTGGTTTTCCAGGACTGATAGAAGATACAGCATGTGGTGCTTTTGTGCTATAACATTTCGTGTCAAAGACAATTGAAAGTAAAGCCTGGTCTTATTTATAAATGAAAACAGGTTATTTTTAATATTAAGCAACTAACCAAACCCTCTCATTTGCTTGCTTACGTCTGGCCTCTAAGCCCATAAATACCTCCATGGTTTTAGTCCGCGAGTGAACTATACCGACCGAGCGATCGCCGCTTGTTGGCGAAGTTAGTGCCAACTTTCGCGGATAGATGGTGTCGCGTGGTCAGCGCAACTAATCCCCACGGCCGTTAATTTCGGTTTTCTAGACCGGCCTCTAAGCCCATTCTTCTTTTTTATTTCACTCTTAAATCATTCTCTACATCTTATTCCAAATTGCAAGACACAACTCATTGCCTATATACAATTTTCTTACTAAGTAGAATTTTAGGTTCACATAGCTGCGATTATGAAAATTTCTGTCTTCTTGGATATAACGGCACGTATTCAGTTAAAAGTCAACCGACGTTTCGGAGGAACAGTTCCCTTCATTTATCCTATTAAATCCCAGAAATACCTGCTTCATGTTGGATTCTTACTTGGCTTATTTTTCGATCCTGGAGATACAGGTTAAATTTTCCTCCGAAACGTCGATTGATTCTTAGTTGACTACACGAATGTTTATCCCAGAAGATAGAACTCTTCATAACCACCGCTGTGAGAACCTCAAATCCTACATTCTCTATATCTACTGCCATCTGGTGTGAGTTAAACGGAATAACAGGTCAAGTCTTCGTCCACGAATTTAGTCATGAGCTTTCAACCTAGGAAGATTCAATCCCACGATAGTCCACGTGGAACTTTATTGAAAAAGTAGCTCTGAAGCAGGTTTTATTTTCTTGTACCGTACAAGACTGAATACAAGGCGAAGAAAATTTATTTCACAAAACCAAATGCTTCCTTTAGACCTGAGTGACGGGCCGCGCCATAGTTTAAGCGGTTAGTCGCTGGCCTTCCACCGCGACGGCCTGGACTCGAGCCCAGGTCAGGTCATGTGGGATCTGTGGTGGACAAAGTGGCGCTGGGGCAGGTTTTCTCCGAGTACTTCGGTTTCCCCTTCCAATCTTCATTCCACCAAATGCTCCACAATCACCCTCACCTATCATCTGGGGCTGGTACAATAGGCCAGAAGTGGCCGCAGTACAAGGGACTTACTCCCACCCCACTAGCAATAAAAAAAAAGACCTGAGTGTTGTAAGCTAAAAGAATTAAAGAAATAATAAATTCAAAAGGCAATGCCATAAATAAAATTCTACATATTTTCAAAAATGTATTTGAAATTAACAATTACATCATCTCATATTCATGGAGCGGCGACAGCTTATTTGGTATGGTGATCGGCTACGGGTTGGACGGCCCAGGCTCGATTACCGGCCGGGCCAAAATATTTCAGCCCCCCCCCACATCAGAAAGTTAGTCGCCGGCTTCCCATTGTGGCGACCTGGGCTCAGTTCCCGTTACAATCCCGTGGGATTTCTGTGTGGACAAAGCGGCAATGGGACAGGTATCCTCTCATTACTTCTGTTTCCACATTCATACTGTCACGTGTAGGGGTTTGCGCGTGACATATAAGACGGGTTTTACATTGGATGATTGGATTTATTGACACCTTATACACACAACTCGGGACTATATGCAATTACAGCGCTATCGCTGGTCTACACACTTTACAGTTCACCGTTACACAGACACTAGGGTCTTCAGTCTTCACTAGTCGTATCCTGGCAACGGATTTATAACCGTCTCACTGTCACTTCAAATCACATATGAAGTCTTCTTTTCACAGCCTAATTCCTTTCTTTCCAGTGTTCTGCAACTTCCTAGTCAATGTAGTTCCTCTGTTCCCGAGCTCATATCCTGTCAGTCTGGCTTCCCGAAACTAGACTAATTCTCCTCAATCCAACTTCTTTATAACCACTTTGCAGGACCACGCAGAGAACACAGCCTCTCTGTTGTTGAGAAGGAGTTACTCGATTGTTTCTTGCGTGTTCGTTGCCGCGGGAATGTGTTTACCGAGTCGTTGCCTAGCAGTGAACATGTATTCTGACTTCACTACTGCGGCTTTCGGGCGTCATGTCACAACTAGTCACCATATAATATACTCATCCCGTCCTATGAATTAATTAAATGTCAAGTTGAACAGCAGTATCATCTAGGATGTAACGCCGTACAGACTGGCAGAAGTTTACCGACGATTCTGAAAGAAATACTGCCTCCATCTTCAGGATTAAATAATAAAGCGAGCGTGCATGCCGATTTCCTACTCTCTCGATATACATTTCGATCCTGAAGATGGAAGTAATATATTCCTCAGAAACACCGGTAAACTTGCGTCATCCTACACGGCGTCAAATCCCAAAAGATAGTGTTGTTTATGGTCACAGCTGTGAGAACCTCAAATTTCACGAACACGTGGAGTTATCCCTGTCTTTACTTAAGCATCGTGTCATACAGATAAGGGGGAGGAGGGGTACAGATGATGCCACTGTTAGCCTCTACGTTAGATAGAGGAGAATGGTCAGCTTCATGTCCCATCCGCTTTAACCCCGAGGTAGATGCCCACGTTACCCATTGAATAGGACACTGGGTGGTTACCAGAGCCGTGGAGACAAAAGTGTCTTTGTTTACGCCGGAAACCGAACCCTTGTTCTCACCCCTGTCAGCTCTTGCCCTTGTCACTACACTGAGAGAACTCCACTGGCCCTCATGATGGAAACGAAGGGCTGCTTAGGATGAAACAATACAAGTCTGGGGAAGTTGCATAATCGGCAGCTTCAGAAATTGTACTCCTCGCCAAATGTTATTAGAATGATCAAGTCAAAGAGGACGAGATGGGCAAGACACGTAGTACGCATGGAAAAGAAGAGCTAGATAGACATGTCAACAGAGGGATATCTGTCAAGTGTCGTCATTGTATCGTGTGTGCGTGAAGTGGAGCACCCAGTATGAAAACAGTTATAATATTGTGATGCATATGACCGATGCTGGGCAACGGCTCGATAAGCACAGTCACGGAATTAAGCTCTCAACAATAGAAGCACATTCATTCCTAGGTAACGGGACAAAAAAACACTCATTCTAAGACAACAGAAGAAAAGTTTTCTGTGGGGTCCGTGCTGAGGAATATAATAGGGCGCAGAAGGAGTTCCGAGGCTGGCAGTTGTAGGAGTACAGTGGAGTACAATAGAGAACGAGAATGGAGCGTGTCCTAGTGATTCGTGAAGTGGCTAGATTAGCGTTAGCGCTATAACCGATTGTGATTAAGAGTGATTGTAAG